ACACACACAGTATATAGTACTGTTATGTAAAAGTAATATCACAATTGTGCTGTTGTTAGTCCTAAAGTTACATTTTCAAATTAACAACAGAAGCTTGGACACTGAAATCTTTGACAACTTGTTTGTCAGATCCTGAATCTGTGGCGCAAGAAAGTAGTTCCCACACACGAGAGGATCTTTCCGACACTCCTCGTCTTTTTCTTATTAAAATACATGTGCTGTTACATGCTTGGATCTATGAACTATTCTAAAACACTGGCTCATGTGATATTGCTTTATTAACATCTAAATTCTCTTTGCATGAAGCACGTTTGAAGCTGCTTCAGAATGTTTGGTTCCAGCCAAGAATTCTCATGTTCTTTCATCACAAGTTTGTACACATTTTTGTGTTTTAAGTTTGTGTTTATGTGCCATTTTCAAATGGGGCCAGATAAACACGAGCTGACTGGTCGAGGTCAAACTGCCACAGCACTGATCCCTGCGTTTGACGGCAGAATTACTCAAGTCTGGGAAAGCACATCTGGATGAAGTAACTCCAGCTTCAGATCAAAACAAACATCTGACAACAGCGGATGAAAGAACCGTCTCAGGAGGGGATGCGTTTGTTTTGGTGAACCTATGATTTGTAGACCTCGGCAAAGTAGCAAACAAACCAAGGAAAATAAAACTGTACTCATATTAGGTAGAGTAGAGCCCCCGAAACTTCAGAGACACAACGCCCCCCTCAAATAGCTCCATGTTCAATTGAATGTACACAAGGAGACTGTATTAATAAAACACTTGACCTTCCTTTCAAAGTAGGCCTTTCACAATATGTCAGATTTTCACTGCACTATTATCGTGGGTAAAATAATTCACAATAATGATGCTATCGCATCATCTACAGAAATTTTTTTGGGGAAAAAAAGTATTTTTTAATTTTGTATATTTTGTGCTCACAAATTTTTTTTTTTATAAAATGTAAAAAATACTCACTCAAAAATGCAAAATCACTCTTTATTGAGAGTTTGAAATCATATCTGTACAAAAGCATAAAAAAAACATACTATTACAAATTTGCTTGATCTTTTTTTATGCAATCCAAAACAAAAAACAAAAAAAAAACTCCCATGATTTGACATGATTTTGTGTGGCAGTAGTAGCTACACACTGTCTTTCTTTTTTCTTTGTGCTGTAACACAATATTAATATTAAATTTTTTCATGGTAATCGTCAATACCTCCATATTGTGAAACCTCTGTTTCAAAGTGTCTGCAATCATCATTCTTCAGCCTTCTACACTGCAAGTAAATCACTCTCATATGTGACTACATTTCTGTTTTGCTTCTTCTTTTTTTCTGTCAAAATGACAGAGCTCATTTGTAATAATTATCATCAATACTGAATGACTAATAATATCTCAAGGACCACCACCGGCCCATAGTTTTGTTTAACATGACACATTTTCATGGCATTTTCATTCAGACATGGTTGCCACATTTGAGTTCTAATAACTAATAATCTTGTAATAAAAATGTTTGATTGGCATTTCTTAAGTTATTTTACTTTCAGTGGATATCACATATGAAAGTATCTTCCATCTGATTTAATTTGGGATATATTTATGGCGATTACATTGCCAATGTGTCCATAGAAGATTGTTCTTTTAGTTTTAAAACCATCTGGCTCCAGTGTGTTGACTCCGAGCCCTCCACTCTTCACAGAGACATGCGAGATGACGCGATGCTGCGGAGGTGAGAAATGCAACAGGACTGCACGATGGGAAAACAGAGAAAGTGACAGCAAGAGTGCAAAGAGAAGAGGCGTCGGGCCTGGCTTAGCTCAGCCTGAGAAGTGTGAGCTCATAGTATGCAGAGAGCCAGACGGAGCTCAAATAAACACAGCCGAGCACACAAGAGCCAGATTTCAGCCTTATCGAGCAGACATGAAATCCCCTGCGCTCTTGAACCTGATCTGAGATCATATCTCCACAACCCACAGCCAACATAAGGGCAGTATGTAGCCTTAAATGGGTTGACACGCAGTTGCCAAGTTGTCCAACGTACGCTTGAATGATTACAAGAGCTGAGTCCAAGCGCATACAAGGCATAAAGTCGTCCCCTGTGCATATTTAAACCTCACAGTTTCTTGTTTTCTGTTGTGCTGGTGTCCACTTTACTAAACTAAATCACAAACTAGGTGTGCGCTTTAATTACATTCTCTTCCTACTTGTAGCTACAATCCCAAAATGTTCCGGTCAGTTACATCAGTTTCAAACAAGTGAGAAATGTGTTAGTCGGCTACAATATGGGCTTTTCGCCACAGTTTGTCATAATAAGTATACTTTGGTTTTTATGCAAGTGCTTGGCAAACGCAAGCAGACATGTACGCACAAAGTTTCATCTTCATCCAGTGTCTCTGCTATTTCTGTCCTTTATAATGTCTTCAAATTGTTTTAAACCAGAGTTGCGCTCAACACCACATCTATTGTTGTTGCATCTCCAGTAGTTTGCTGTTGTTCATTCTCATTGGTTTCTTTATATTCTCATTGGTTCAGTGGAACAACTAAGGCTGGGCGATATGGCCAAAAATATTATCACAATATTTTTTCCATATAATCGGAGATCAATATGTAACAATATTCACTCAGAAAATATTGAGAATTAATGTAAACATAACTTCCTTCATAATTAAACTCCACAGCGTAAGGAACCTTTTAATTTAGGGCCCCCTAAATTCTGTGATTTCCTTTTTTTTCTGCATTCTGTGTTTTATGATTTAATACAAATGTATCATAACCAAATTGTGTTTAATGAAATTAATTAATAAAACTTTAACTTTATCTTTTTAAATGAAATCAAATGAAAATATAAATCATTTTACACCAAAACATTGCATTTTCTTTAGTCAAGTAAGATGCTGCACAACAGAACTGTATAAATTAAAACATGGATAAAAATATCTTGGTTGTATTCCTTAAAAATAATATTACTTTGAGAAGTGCATTTTAGTATACAATACAAGTAATATATTTCTGTCATAATTTCAAGCTAAACTGAACTTTAGGCATACATTAGGCATGTACTGTGCTGATGGCTAAATTTATTTCACACTCACACACACACTCACACACACACACACACAGTGTATGTATACCACAGAGTATGCATAAAAACCAAAGTATACCTCGGGCTTAAGGCACCTGAAACACATTGTTCAGTTAGGAACAACATGAAACTGTAATAATCCTTAACAGCAGACAATTCAACAGTCAACAAAAGACGACAGGAAAAGGCTGAATCACACAAAGAAAAACTAACACCATCAAAACAGGGCAGCATTGACCAGATCTGCATCACATCACAGAAGATTTGTGAAGAAACTGAAGCATGAAAGGCCCAACTGTGTTGCCGAGCCAAACTGTGAATGACTGAGAAAGTGAAGCGGTGAAAACACGAGTCCTGAGAATAAGACATGCACCCTCGATGTGGTGAAGGCAAGCTGTTACAGGCCCTCCACCGTCTATAATCGCTGAGGAAACATGACTGTGATCACGCTCGGCTGACGCTCTGAAGACGTGACATAATGAGAGAGCCACTACTGTACATGAATGTGTTCCTCATCAATGAACCACAGCACCGACACGGAGAAGCACTGCTGCACGACTGTCTGCGGCTAGACTTACAGTCAGGTGAAGTTAGCATGTTTCAACAGGCTGAATGTGAAATTATTACACAAATCCATTATTACTCATGCATGGATGCCAGTGCAACTGAAAGTCAAACAAGATAAGGCTGTACCCACTCAAACATGCCAAGCTGTACTTGTCACATCACTTTGCCAAAGCACAATGTACCGTAAAAAGCACAAAGTAAAGCAATCGCTTCTGTCAGAAGAGGGAAAGGGCAAGTTGAGGTAAAACAATGGGCCAAATTAGAAAATACAGATTGGTTCTGTAATTGCATTATTGCAAGCAGAAGCAGAAGAACGAGAAGGAGGAAGAAGAAGAAAAAAACCTGTACAAAACTACTTTAAAACTCCAAGAGATCTCTCCGTAGCGCAGGTTTGGCGAGTGCGGCGGGCAGGCGAGGTTAAGTGGGTTTGACTACTTGTGGGCAGCCATGATTGGAACGATAAACAACACAAGCACTGCTGACAAGCCACTATAACTCGCCATTTAACCAACCTCTGGCCTTCAGACGCAACACTAAATGCTTAAAAATATATATATATATAAAACAGGTGGATAAAAATGATTTTTCAATGCATCTCAATCATTTTAACAAATCACAATCTCAATTCTTCAAACCCAAGATCAATCTTTTAGTCTATGGTTGTTTTCAGTTGATGTGTAAATATAACAAACATTATTTGCAAAGTTATTGCTGATCAAACATATTAACTAGGGCTGCACGATAATGACAAAAATCATAATTGTCGATTATTCCTTTGAAATTGTAATTGCAATTATTAATTTACGATTAAATGAATGATGTTTACACTTTTGTTTGAAGCAACTGCATGCCATATTTTTATATGAAAATAAACAAGCTGAAAAGACTAACTGAAAAACTTTTATTGCTTTTCTATAGTATTAAGCCTCAAATGTAAACTATACATCGGATTGGTTTCTCTTTAAATAAAAAGGCAAAAATATGCATGGTATTATAATGTTATACTGAAACTAAAATTAAAACAATGGAAAAACCCTTAAGATAACATGTAGAAAGAAAAAAAAGCATCTTAAGCACACAAAATAACATAAGTGGACTTTGAATGATTAATTGCTGCTGTGAATGTTTATGTAATTGTGGCATCCGTAATTGTAATTGCGATTAGAAATTCGATTAATTGTGCAGCCCTAATATTAACATACTCAATTTTCCAAACACATTATTAAAACGATGGAGGAATATGCACCACTGAAGCCAGCGACCCTCATGAACCCTTGTGAAAAGTATTACAGCATTCTTAAAAATTAAAACTGACATACTTTACATTCAGTTCGAACTTAAGTATATTCTTTTCATGTTTTTGAACACTTAATTGCAAAAGATTAAACAATGATTTAAAATGTACTTTAAAGAGAAACTTAATTTGACGTTAGAAAGTGCCCTTTTTAAAAGTCTACTTAAGTGTGTTAAGAAACAGTCATGAAAGTGTCTCTCTTTAAGTATACTTAAGTGGCCTTTTATTTCATAAATATTATCTACAAGTACTTTTTTAATACATACTTTTAAGATTTGAAGTACACTACACATTTAATACAATTAAGTGCACTTTTTCACAAGGGGAGTCAGAGTTAACAGTTGATGTATTGGAATATTTCAGATTTAAGTTGCAATGTTGATTTGCTGATCGCATTGTGCTTTTTGTTTTCTGTTGTTTTTGAGAAATTTTGCCAATTTTAAATCACAAAACTCCAAATGTTTTGATGCTCTTTAATGGAACGTGACTGATCTCAGCAAGATTTCTTGTGGGTGAAGCTAACTAGTCTAACGCTACTAAAACAGAAACCAAAAAACTATTCAAATGTTCTGTCGCAAAACACAGTTGATGGTCACAACTGGTTTTGAATATGGAGACTTGATTTATGCACCTGGTTAGATAAAAGAATTCATGTCCAACTTAGGGTTGGGCGATGTCTACCAAATTGGCATCAGACGATGTCTGCAGTGAAACATCGTGATGGACGATGACATCGGGGGGCGGGGTTAGGGGTGTGCCCGAAGCGTGAAACATATAACGCGTTCTACGGAGCTACTAAAAGGTTAGCCGCTTGCTAGCGGTAGCCTGTTGCATTACAGTACATGAAAGTTCACTTACCACATACACAGAGTAAGAAATGTCTGATAGGACGATGGCGAATGATTTGCAAATCCTGAGCACCAATGACAAACATCTAATCTTGTCAAATGTGTGGTAAGTACTGCTGCAACATAGTATAGAGTCCTTGTGATCGCGAATCTCAAAAGTGAGAATAAAATGAGAGCGTGCAATCGAAAGCGGTTTTAATAGCGGCTCCCTGATGCCTGCAATTTATATACAGTCGCCTATACTTACCCAACGATATAATTGCGAGAAAAAGTATTGAAATATTTTTTTTTATCCTCCTATCTCGTAGGCTATTTATTCCCTTTAGGGTTTCCGTAGTACACTTCATTTCCTTTCCGAACATGGAACTGGGATGCGGCGGATTGCGGGAGAGAGGGTGGGGGGATCACGATGTCAGTTTAACATCGTGATGGCTGTCTATCGGCCCAACCCTAGTCCAACTGTTTACTCCACATTTTGTTTATGACCATGTTTCACAGCCACTGTGAGCTTTTCTCTTGCTTCACGTTCATATGGGTAATGCATGGTTTAGAAACACTGCTCTTCATACATTCATTCACTCTCCTGAAAACTATTACCGTTTCCTCTCGTCCCCAGACCCCTTGGTCCCGTGGCCAACACAAATAGTCTCTGCAGTGCTCATATTCGGAGCTGCTATTAAACAGACCTGCCAGAGCAAAGTGGTGGCTTTTCCTGAAACTCTTGATTTATGCACACTGCAAGCAGAAACGTAGACCCACTCCTGACAGACACAGCAGGCCACATTTCATGATCCAGACCTTATCGTGAACACCTATCATGCAGTTATCCATTGATTTGTTTTGGTTCACTATTGGTTCTCATGTGTATCGTAACGGCACACCCCATCTTCAGCTCAGCAAACTAAGAATAACAAAATACAGGAGCGTTCACAGCAGGGATGATAACGCAAACTATAAAACTTTAATGGTTCTAGTTGTACGAGAATAGGGAAGTCGAACCCAAAACGATAACGATAATGACACGGAGGAAGGATATCATTGGAATCACTTTCAGAATGATTTCTTCTAACTGCACTGAAAAGAATTTGGTGTAGGATTTGCTTTGAAGCAGTTTTCACTCATAATTATGAAGAAACAGAAAGAAGCACATTCAATTAAGCAGAAACTGAAATAGTATTTTCTTGTAAAACATAATGCAATATTTTTTTATTTCAACTTTCATCACATTTTAGGGACCAATTCTTACTATTAACTCTGACTTTTGCCTCAATAAACTCTTAATTAGCTGCTTATTAATAGTCAATAAGGTAGTTAAGTTTAGGTATGGGGTAGGATTAAGGGATCTAAAATATGAAAATAGGTCCTTAAAATGAAGCATTACCACAACTTAAAAAAAAAAAAAAAAAATCATTTTACAGTGTGATGAATGATAAAAAAATTGGCAGTCAATCAGAATCCATCCTTCTTCAGCATATAAAGCAGCAGATGACAAAACTGCAGTGCGCACTTATAATAAACAATGTTATTGTCGATTGTTCTTTTTAATATAGTTCTAGTTCTAGTTGGTGTGTATGGGCCTTGAAAGCCAATAAGAACATATTTAAAGTTTAACATACAGCTATGTGGAGTGGGATTTTGGACCCACTGTGGATGACGCTAACTAGCATGATGCTAGTACAATACTGAATTTGAGCATTAGCAAAAAAACAACAGAGTTTGCATCTTTGGTTGAACTTTTTCTTTTAGTAGTTGGTGTCTTCAGTTGCAAAGAAATTCCAGGATTGTTCTCCATATAATGGTCTTGTAGAGCCCCTTGAAGCTGCATTGAAACTGCAATTTGGACCTTCAGCCAGTTGGTCCCCATTGAAGTCCATTATATGGAGAAAAATCCTGGAATGTTTTCCTCAAAAAAAAATGAAGAAAGAAAGATATGGACATCTTGGATGACATGGGGGTGAGTAAGTTATCAGGAAATTTTTATTCTGGAAGTGAACTAATCCTTTAAACTGCATAATAATTATAGATTTTTTTTTTACTAGGTGATATGAACACACAGTGTTAGGATGATGCTTTCTGGATTGAGTTTAATAAGGCCTTGTGTTCCTGTACCTTCAGCTGTTGGCAGCCCTCCGCTTTGGGCCTCAGCTAGAGCCTCGATCTCTCCAGACTCCGACAGATTCACGTCAGCCACTGCAGAAGAGAGAGGAGACTGTTAGTACGCCATTAGTAAAGACCTGTGCTGAACAACCAAAGACTAACAAGCAAGATGTGCTCTCATCAAATGATCAAATTATTCTGCCAGGTTCTTCAGTACAATGGAATACTCGAACCTTAGCATCTGTAAAAGTAGAAGTAACTTGTAAAAATGATCATTTGTAATTCCAGAGTAGGGATATGCCGGTATCAAATTTTCATGTTGCGATTAATTGCTAATGCTTTTAATTACGGTATACGGTATTATCACGATATTGCTGTCATAATACAGTATAACAGGTTTAATAACTTTTTTCTTATAACAAAAATAACTGAACATTTAAATGCAATAAATAATTTGTAATATATAATTATTCACGGTATTTAGAAGTGCCCACGATAACAATATCGTGCATATTCATTACCGTGATATATCGCATTACCGAATACCAGCACAAGTCTATTCCAGAGTATACACATCACAAATATACAACAAAAACAACAGCAGCAGTAACCCATATTAACATTCAAACACCGGTTAAACAGGTCATTTATAGAAATACACAAACATGCAATTCATACACTGACTATAATAATATACCTTTTCTACTGTGAACATAGTTAATATGTTAATTAGATATTTTTGTGGAGCATATAAAATCAAATGTCTCTGTGGGGAATCAATGTGAGATAACCTGGAAAAAAGGCAGAAAATGTTATTTTTCACAAATGAAACCAAAATGAATACAAAGAGATACATATTTCTAAGTTGTTGCCATGTGCATTTTTTTTTCTTTTTATCTCCTTGGATGATATTATTTTGCACAAACAGCAAAATAAGAAAGAAAATATTAGCCTACACTAAGACGAAGGGCTCTCTTCACTGGAAAATTACCATTAATTGTGATGCAAGAAAAAAAAGCAACTTCAGTCGGCTTCAACCCTCAATGTTTGATCTAAAACAGTGTTTGGTTCATCCTTCATCTGTTCCAAAAAGAGCATCTGATTTCTCATAAAACACTCTGAAGATCACATTACTGTTGACAGTGTGGTTTCTGAGATGCTCCATAAATACCCTAAATTGAGTTAATCTCACAGACTACATGAGTGGAGTTTTCACAGGATCATTAGATGGTAACTGGGCCGGTGTTTAAGAAGCTCACTGTATGTGGTTAAAGGCAAATTACATCCTTGTTTAACAGTGTGGAATGATTTCCTTCTGAGACCGAAAACAGCGTGAGAACCATTACATTCGGGGCATAATTTATGCTCGCTTAATATGATGTTGCAATTATTTCTTTGTTTCATCTGTTCCAATAAATTAAACCGTTTTTAGGCATATTATCCCCAAATAAAATTAAGTTGGGAATGTGCGTGTCGAAAACCACATTTGACATGCTATAAACAGCTGGGCCAGGCCTTCCACATAATTACAAAGTACTGTGTTCAAGTAATATTCCATAACACGCTGCCAGCTGAAGCATTAGTGAGTGATTAGGACTCATCCACACAGTCCTAACAAACACACCACATGGAAGACATCAGATGGCTCATTTTAACCCAAACTTACTGAAATACAGTAACGAAAATGATCCAGTCCTGATTTTTTATTATGAATAAAATGATTACAGTACTACCACAATGCATAATTTCTTTAAATTTAAAAAATGAAACGTATATACAGAGTATTATTGTATAACACGCATCAGATTGGCCCTCCAAAGACATGTCAGCCAACTATTTACGCAAAATATACATTGACTATTTAGCATTCTTCTGTGCTAAAACTAAGAAATGCAAAGATTAGGAGGATCTTGATGAAGTTGGTGACTCTCCTGATCAAACATTGGTTCTTTAGCACAAACTCAGTTTATTTTATGCTGCCTTGCTGCCTGTTGAATGATTATCTGCCATAACACACACAGATGGTGTCTTTCAGAGCTGGCAGAACTGACATACACTAGGGTTACAGACACATTTCTCTTGTGGTTGAGAAGTTTATTTCACATTATGAAATATCTTAAACCAGGGGTGTCCAAACTCGGTCCTGGAGGGCCGGTGTCCTGCAGAGTTTAGCTCCAACTTGCCTCAACACAACTGAATGGAAGTTTCTAGTATGCCTATAAGAGCTTGATTAGCTGGTTCAGGTGTGTTTAATTAGGGTTGGAGCTAAACTCTGCAGGACACTGGCTCTCCAGGACCGAGTTTGGACACCCCTGTCTTAAACATTCCAGTGCCTGAAACTAACGCACAATCCAAAGGCATGAGTCACATAACAGACAAGCAGAGGATGCCTTGTGAATGTACACATTTTACATGAGTCCACTGGTGGAGTATTAATGGTATCCTCCTCTGCAAATGGTATCAGCACCCAGTGTTGGGGAAAGTTACTTTTAAAAGTAATGCATTACAATAATCTGTTACTCATTAAAAAAGTAACTAACTGTGTTACTTAGTTACTTTTATGGAAAGTAATGCGTTATGTTACTTTTGCGTTACTTTTCCTCATCCAGGCTGGACTTGCTTGTTTGTTTTTAGTATAAAAAAAGTTATATTTTTTGCAAATGTAAAAGGCCATTCACACCAGAAGTGAAATGAATGAGCCTCAGGCTGAAGGAAATGTAAATTCACGTCTGTACAGTAGAGGCCGCAGCTCAAACAAACCTTTCAGCTGAGCTGCTGTTCTGGATTGCATGAAGAACAAGACGCAGAGAAGAAAGCTCAACACTCTTCAGCAATTAAAAAAATGAAACACAAATGTTATGATTATCTAAAGTCATTTCTGCTTATTAGTGTGGTCGAATTGGATCATCAAAGGTCAGCAGCAAAGACATAATAAAATGGGATTAAATACATAAAGGAAATCTGTGTTAATTAATATTTAATTATTGCAGGTTTTCATAATTTTTTGAGTTTGCATTTCACAGTTTTTATTCATTGAGTAATTCTGAATCTGTTTCTGTGCAAGTGAGATGAGTAAATGCATGCTGAGATTTAGGCTACGTTTACACGACAACGATGTAGTCAAAAACGGAAAAGTTTTTCCCTTGCGTTTTTAAAAAGTTTCACGTATACACGACGTTTTCAAAACGATTCGCGTTTACACATATCCACGAAAACGGCCAAAAACTCTGTATTATGTATGCCAGGCCAGTAGTTGGCGCTGTCACCTTGTTAGTAAACAGTACCTGTAGGAAAGTGACGATTATTATATGCTGTATATGCATCTCCGCTGTTGGTTGTAATATTGGTGAAGTAAATCCACACTTTGCTGAAGAAGCGTTAGCAAACTCTTGAGCAGCAACAACAGTACCATGTACTCCGCCATTGTTGTGTTTGTTTGTTTGTTCACGCTTGCCTTTAAAATCGACACGTACTGCGCATGTCTACATACCTAACACGTACTACGCACGCACGCGCATGACGTCACTGTTTTCAAAGATTCACGTTTTGGGTGTTTACACGGAAACGATAACGGTACCGTTTTCAAAAACTTGCACTTTGAAACCCGTTTTCAAAAATACAATAATGCGCTGACTTTGGCAAGGAGTTGTGGGAGCAAACAGAGATGAAAAAACATGTGTTATTTGTCTGGAAAACAAGGAAATTTACATGTACACTGACTGACAAATAAAGACCAAGCTGATTATAGACTTATTGTTCACATATTTTCTATAACTTGCTTAAATTTGCTCTTTTCTAATGGCGTGAAGAACTGCTTATCACTTGTTGTACAACAATCATGCTACTGAATACATTACAGCGCTTTAAATTTTTCGTTACACTACTTTCTCCAATACCAGCTTAACATACAAATTATAACAGTGGATCTCAACCCTGTTCCTGGAGGCCCCAACAATGCACATTTTAAACTTTTTCTGAGACACCTATATTAAAGGCCAGATTCAGGAAAATCTTCTTAACTTCTTTCTTAAGAAATTTAAGACCAATTCTAAGAAGTTTGAAAGAATGTTCTTGAAAAGTTATCATATTTTGACCTATTTTTTTCTTGGCAGGAGTTCAGCACTGGGAGTCATGTTTGTAAATGCGATTTTTGTCTTCTGTAATTTCTTGTAGCGTCTATGATCGTGCATCTTATCAGTTCCCAAGTCAGCTCTACTTAGGACTGAAACCCTGGCTTTAGCGGCCCACAGCAGTAATCAGCAGGCTGCTGCCACCACACTGGAGGGAGGCCAACAAAAGAGCCAGTGTGGAGACCTGGGAAAAGACGCTGATCAAATTATTTTGGCTCAGGGTGCCTGTGAGCACTCAAGCCTCTGAATCACCACCTTTCACAGCGCATTCTCCTTTTTCAGCGAGTTACTCGCCTGGCAACTGTCGGCAAGTAGGCCACTCGGAGCGCTCATAAAGAGGTGATGGCTGCAGTACGCCGAGCCGCCCCCTGTGGGAGAGTCCGGCTCCAGGATGGGGGCAGCAAACCCTCGGCCAAACTGAGAATGTAGAAGCTTGTTAACACTCCATCTTGTCCTCTGGAGAACTGTTTAGTCAGGAACTGGTTGCCAGATTCATAAAATAAAGGAGCGGGATAAAGGGGAGAAACTTTGGAGAAGCTGAACTCGTTGGGAAAAACTACACCGCTAAGAGCCCATTTAGTTAAATTGTAGCTTCCCATGAAGTAAATTGAGAAGAACATTGCATTCTCTTCCACGAATGAGATGTTTTGTTTGTGCCCTGACCAGTGCTGGGTAGATTACTTACAGATTATAGTTACTGATTCCAAATTACATGACAAAAGTTATTAATCCATTACACATTTTAGGTAATATAATCGGATTACTTTTTGATTACTTTTAGATTGCTTCTGACAACTCACATTGATTTAAGCGGGATAATCTTGTACCATACTGATAAAAAAAAAAACACAAAGAGAAAGAAAATATATTCTATTTGTTATAAACATCATGAAGCGCATTAAATTATTTTTGTAAATCCAGTTCTCAAATGCTGTGTGGCCTCTCAGTTTTCTGTGTAATTAT